TGTTAGTTCCAGACATTGTTTGAACTTGGTTYATGCTCTACCAGTAAGTTCTTATTACATTTTTTTTTCAAAGTTCACATTTCCAAAGCGGATTTAGTTGCTTAGCAGAGCATGCCTTCAACTCATAATTGACAACAACAACAACACGGGAGCAAAGWAAGAAACAAAATTAAAACAAAGTCAGTAMGAAACAAAATTAAAACAAAGTCATGGGAAACACGCCATGATCTGGTTTCTACATAATATTTAATTGCATGTGCTTGAGACAGTGCCTTTTACAGCGATGGAGCACTGCTGTAAAATTTTTATTTTTTAAAGCCAGACAATGGAGATTTTCCCTCAGCCCCAAACCCTGTTCCCTATTTCTGTTTTTCACCCAAAGTGCTCATTTATCAGAGCTGAACCTTTCAGACACGCTACACCTCTGACAGAGAGAATATATTTAACATGTCCTTGATCCAGCCAAGAGTCAGATTTTAAATCAAGTTCTTTGATTTCATTACAAGGCAGCATTTTTTACCCATTATGTATTGTCTCGGTGTTAATTAAAGACCATACTGTGTAATTCTACAAACTATACACAGCTAGACATGAATTCTTTTTTGAGAACAAGCTCATGATTATTCAGTTTACTTCCCTTTTGTGTTAAGGAACTGAAACAATACAAAAACTCAGCCAAATGCTTTTCATATATTTAGAAACACACATATATATTAAAACCACAAGTATATATGAAATCTTTATGCAAATAAAACTATAATTTCATCTATGTTTGTACTCATTAAAAAGTCCCAAGATAAAACAGAACAAAAATGCTTCACAGTATGAGCAGAAAGGAGAAAACAAACCAATCCCCAGATACACTTTGTAGATTATATCATCAGCTCAKGAGGTGTGTCTGCTGCTTTCCTCTGATTTGGGCCACAAAGTCTGGATTGCAAATCCCTCTTGCACAGCACTTACACAAAATTCACAATTGAATACATGCAAAATGAGAAGGAAACAGTGGCACAGYATTGCAATGCTTTCATTACAAATAAAAGTTCAAAATGCCAATTAAGCCTGTTTTTCTCCCCAGTCTGCCTCTCTGTTGAGCACACAGGGAAACACAAATTGAGTGCAGAAATACCATCCACACATTCATATCCTGTGCAGCAAAATCTTAACTCACACACAAAAGGACAAAGTTGTCAAAATAATTTGCATTTTACCATCAGTAGAGGAAGTACATCTTCCCACCTCAATTATTTCCTTGATACACCCAAAACTGCACCCAACCCAACCTAAAACTGTCCATCGAGAGCAAAAAACTAATTGTTCACTCAGCATTTAACATATGATTTTTTTTTTTGCCATAAATCTGATTAAAAGGTTTTTCACAGAACTTCTAGAAAATAAATTGAAGCACTGTTTCTCAATAGTTAATTTGTTATTTGCATTCATTTCTCCCATGGGTGCTCAGACAGATCCAGTGGCCAAATGAGAATTTATTACCTTGAGCTGCTTAATCCTTCTGCTGGAAATATTTTATTTTGCATTTATAAGTAAAAGTTTGTGGATCAGAGACTGAAAYTCATTTATTTTATTTTCTAGGCCACTGGCTCTAGAATTACTATTACCTGTAAGCTATTTTAGAAAAAAAACAACTGCTTCAAGAAGAATGCCTGAGCGAGGTCAAATTATGTAAATTTATTGACAAGGACAGTAAATGAACAACAAATCACTGATCTAACCTAACCAGGCATGAAKCAGATTAACATTTTTAGTGACTGTACCAAACATTTGAACTGCTTCACAAGAAGATTATGCTTTAGAAGTCTCAGAGGCTTAAAGGTAAATGGCAATGACACTTTTCAATAGTTTTAAAAGGCATAAAGTTGAAGCTTAGTGTCCCTACTCCTGTTTAAGCATTTTAATCCTGAAATCTTACACCTCTGAAGCAGCCTTAGAAGAACCCTAACAATTTTATGCATGAGCAACACACCCAGGCCACCTGAAATAACAAAAAAGCAGGGAGGGTTTTTTTCTTTTTAAAGATCTGTTTGTGTTGGAATCTCATGAAACATGATCAGCACATCCACTACATTCAGGAGATTACATAAAATATTTTCAATTTTCAAGGCTGTTCAGCTTAACATGGAAGCAAAAATAGTTCCCTGGTCAGCATTTAAGCACAGACTGCACAARTAATTCAATAATAACATCAGCCTAAAACCCAAGTTTTAAGAAAAAAAAAAAATTAGGAAAAACGCAGGAGCAGCAGCACCTAAATCCAAGAGTTTCTTCAAATTACATTTTCTATAACATTTTGTATTGCTAGCTGATTAAACCAGTATGAAAATACATTCCTTCCTAAATTGATTCACTGGGGTTGTATTATCCATTTCCCTACACCAAGAATACTGGTAGCTTTACCCTCCCATTTTCCTTCCTGAAGAARTACAAGAATTTGGGTATGGAGCAAAATTAAGGTCTGAAAGCCATTTGAGTTTGAAATACATAGAAGGGAGTTTCAAACAGCTTAGGTCAGCTGCAATGGGCTGGAACATCACAAAAAAATGCCAGGCAAAAGCTTTAATTTTCAATCCTGTATCAGTGCTGCAGCTTTGGCACTTGGATAAATAAATATCACTGTCAAGGTTCTGCTGATGAGGGTGCTTAGAGCTTCTGGCTTGGGACAATTTTGGTACAAACCATTGGTATTAGCCCTTTAAACCAGAGCATTAGCAAGAATAACACAGGAATTCCTGGGGTTCATCCTCTACAACTCAATCACAGCTTTGTYAGGGAAGGCTGATGTGGATTTACGCTGCTCTTCAAACTCAGGCATGCCACAGTCACCTTGATTTCCTCCTGGCTACTGATGCTCTACACAGCTTTCAGGAACTGATACGCAAAGATGGATGTGCTAAAGAGGAAATTGAAGAGTTTTCCCTGATCAATATTTTACCAAAAAGGATCTACATACGAGAGAGAGAGACTTCCTACATGTACAATCACGTATGGTGGATTGGATAATAAAACCTGTAGGGGYTTTTTGTTGTTTTGGTCAGACTCAAGTCATAGAGAAAACACTGAAAACATTCCATAGAACAGCACTATGGAACACTCACCTTTTAACCACAGCAGTAAAGGCTGAAGTCTTCCAAATTTACTCACAAAAATATCCCAGTGAAAGTCATTTCAGAACTTCTGGCTGCTCTTTCATCTGACTTCCCAGRGGATAAATTAAGGAATTAATTTTACAACTAAATATTACACTGGCAAGGGCATGATCAGAATTTGATTATTGAGAACCTTGGCCCCACATCAGAACCAGTACCAAAACTTCCAGCAGTGGATTTGCACAGTGCTGCATTAACCAAAGCACTTTACAAATGCAGGGCTCTCTACAATCACACTGACCTCTCACTCCTGACATGCTCTTCAGGACTTCTGATCCACTTTCCTGCTTCTTCATGGAGCATCTACACAGCAATTTCCAAACCCAGAAGCTCCCAGGAGATGTGATCCATCACAGTGAGGTTGAGTGTGACATTCCATTTATGACCAATACATAGAGAAGTAGGAAAAGTTGTGAATCCTAAAAAGATGCAACAKTCAYRGTTTTGRAGTGGTCTGTGAATTCTTACAACCAAAAGTTCTGCAAAAACATGGGGATGAAAAAAGTCTGAGGTTAAGTCTCATGTTGTTTTATCATCACAGGCATCAAGATGCAAGATCTTGTACTGGTTCCAGTGAGTAACTTGAGAATCCGTAACTTGATCTGCTGTGAAATTTTGTGAGCAGAGATATCCAGGAGTGATCTTAATAACAGAAATACAGAATGCTCTTTAAGCTAAAACAAAGTGTCAAGATTTTATCTTCTAACATCTGAGAAAGAATGGTGTAAATTATTTGCCACAACAGCACACAATCTAAAATTATGCTACAAGGCCAGACCGTTTCATTGTGTAGTTAACTTGCTGGAAAAAATCCAAACACCATTTTTCTTCTTTACAAAACCATTCTGTGGATTGAATCCAGGCCATATATGCATTCAGCAGCTATATTGCTTCACCATTTTTTGTGATTTAGTTAGGACAGAACTGTTTTTACAATGYTACAGATAAGCTACAGCCAAGGCCTCATCTTAAAAGCTTCTATTTTAGGGATTGTAAATCCACTAGTTCATTTTATTCCACTACAAGTAAAGAAATGCTAAAACAAACACAAAGCCATAAATATACACTCAGATAATTATGTCAATACACTTTACTGGTGAACACACACTATTTCAGAGAAACTATCAGAGAAAACACTAAAAAAGTATGGCTCTTCAACTCAAATCAGTCCCAAGAAATCTCTGTAAGCAAATCCAAAATTCATCATCTGCTTTACATTAAATATTGTCCCTTCATCTAAACACTATCTTCTCACAGCTTACATAACTCTGAAACTTGTGAGTCTGATTAGGCATTTCCACATGGCAAGATGAGATGGAGAGAGTAACAAATAATTTATTAATAGTTTCATACCCATCTGTTGCAGARGTCCTCATGGAAAAAGATGGACACAGAGTTCTACACCCTGAAGATAAAAAATGTGCAGACTTCTGCAKGCTTCTACTGAACAGAAACACAGTTTGACACTTCATGTATTTTACAGAGTCCAGACTTCTAAATGCATACAGAAAAAATGAGATTTTGTGAAAGTCTAAATGCAACACAAACCAAATAATCTATCATTGGATGAATAATAGATTAACTAATGTTAAGATGTTACAGTCTTGCAAGCATTTGTCACTATCTAGAAAGGACACAGGCACATTGTACAGACTGATTCACTCAAAGGATTGGTACAAGAAATGTATTTAAGTATAAACCTGATATGAGATTAGTATTTTTCACTATTTGCTCTGAAGAAATTAAAATATACTATTCAGACTAGAACTAGAATAGATAGATTAGAATACTTAGATACTAGAATGTGACTTAGTGGTTTTTTTTACCAGGTAAATTTTATAGTATGCAATATACTTTTTAATACTGTAACTTTAAAAGAATAACAAGGTATTTCTCAAAGTAATACAACTGTAACAGGAAAAAGAAGTCTTTATTTCTGCTTTTTCCTTTTCACCATTAATAACAAAATTTTGAAATTGGAATCTTTAAAATAACCTAGTAATAAATGCCTAAAAGAATAATTAAATATACAAAAAAACCCCAAAAAACTCCTTTGACAAAAAGAGAGAAAAGGAAGGAAGAAACAATTCTGTGCATTTTATTGGTATTGAGGTACARTCCTGTTACAATTTTTTTTTCTCTTTTTTTTKTTTAACTAAAATACAAGATAGAAAAACATCAAAAGCCTGATTGGTCAATTAGCAGTAAATACAAAACCAGCTCACAAAAACAGGAATAAAAAGCCCAGGCAGAAAKAAATCTGCTTTGGACATACAACTACATAGAACTTCACACTTACAGCCCAGTTTGCTCAAGATCATAAGAATATTTTTTCTGAGCTATAACTTCTTTCTGCAGAGGGATCCAATACAAGGGCTGCTCTTTGGCTTTGAAATCCCCATGGATAAAGATGCAGGAGGCTGACARGACACAGGTCTCTTACTCTTCTTCACTGTAAGAACTCTGTCTTCCTTTGTGGGAGGCACATGTATGGGTTTCCAAGGAATGGGGTTACAATATGCTGGAGCTGGATACAAATTTCTATCAGCAATCCCTGAAACATTTAGAAAACACACATAACTAAAAAGGAATATTTACACTACAAGCTTTCCAATGCAAGYAGTTACAAAAATCATCTGGACTAATGATGACACAGCAGTGTCTTCAGAGAAAGATGAACACATCACATAATTTAAGTGATTCAAAGTAATAAATATTTCACTTTTTTTATATCACTGGCATAATTTTCATCTCTTGTTAAAGTAACAAGCAGGTTGAATTCTCACTCCTTTGTGTTCTTAAGAAACTGTAAATGTCTACAAATTGGCTATTTTGTTTTACCCAACCACACAATAGATACACTTCAAAGTTTGTAACATTCTGCTGAATGGCACAAAGAGCAGAGAAGAATTTTTCAAAAATGATTTAAATAAATTATTTCAGCTGTCAGGATGTAACGAAGCTCCAAACAAAATGTGAAGGCAAGGTATATCACTATTTACAAATAAATGTAAGCAAAAGAGTAAAGSTTGTTCACCTGCTTTATACACGTTTCTTAAACATTCAGAAACCAGAATTTTGGTCCCAAAACTATTTCTGTTGCACAGTCAAATAGAAGCAATTATTTTAGCTGCACAGAGAAATAACATGCAATGCAATACTATTCCTTGCTGCTTTCCTGCTTTTGTGCCATGTGGGATGATGGAAAAATACAAAAATAAAGTAAGACATGTGAAACACCACACTATCAACAGCATTATCTTTCACACAACAAAGGAATAGCATTATAGAAATCAAGGAGGTTTGGTGCAGATGAAAAGCAAAAGAGAAAGGAAATTTTAGCTCAGAATAMAGGCTGATGCTCCTGTCTTTTTTTTAGACAGGATTTCTGTCAGCTCCCAATTGTTCTCGTGTCTCAAAACCCCACCTCTCCTCTAAGGGGGATTCACACCTTCTGYAACACAAAAACTAACTTTACAAGGATGCTGACTTAACTAATTTGTTCACAGAAACAAGTGATTTGTGCCAGTGATTCCTATGCCTGCTAAGAAAAATCAGACAAAATCCATTATAACTTGGTATGCTGCATAATTATCTCAAATAATGTAATTTTCCTCTCAAATAAAAAAAACCTAAAAAAATACACAAAAGGTCTCAGAATCTGTTTCTCTGACTTATTCCATGAGTAGTCATTTCTATGTGCCAAAATTAAATACTAGTTGAGTATCTTAAACAACCTTCATTTTACATTAAAATTAAAATCCAAGTCACTACATATTTGTGTACTAGAAATACAAACCTGTAGACTTCCCATGTGGGAAACCACGTCCATTTAAAGCAGGTTGAGGTTTATTTCTAGCATTTTGCAGCCATTCCTTGAAGATTTTCTCTGATTTTGCTCTCTTGTCCTGTAGCTCAGCTTCGCGTTCTTTTTCTTTTTCCTAAAAATAAAAAAAAATAAACTTTTTTTAAAATCTAAGGTATTCCCAGACAAAGCCCTGCACAATATACACAAAATAAATAATTTTTCAGGTTTCCAGACTGCTGAAAGTATTTTAAATATGTCTTCAAATACAAGCACCTTTTTCTAACAATGGAAAAGATGCATTTTTTTGTTTAAGTCTAGGGAAAAACAAAAACAAACCCAACCTCCATGTTACTCCAGTGTTTCCCTGAGGAAAAACTCAAAGGGTGTTAACAAAAATACATTAAAATGTGTCTTAATTTGCTGACCATAGCACAGTGCCTTCAATGCAACTCTTGAAAGATCTTTTTCATGTACAACACAGCCATTTGATATCAATATATTCAATGTGATTCACAGATTAACTCCACCCAAAAAAAATACTCAGTTCATTAATACCTTCTCTTTTTTCTTCTTTTCTGCCTCTTCAGCTCTCTTCTTCTGTAACCATTCTTTAAACTTTACTTCAGCCTTTTCTTGCAACTGCATTTTTTCCAGTTCCCTTGTAGCTTTTTCTGCCATTTCTTTGCTCAGCTTTCGTTTCCTTTCTCTTCTTTCCTATGTGGAACACATCCAAGAAACAGAACAGAAATTTTTTTCACAATATTTCAATGAGTGATTCTGTTGAGGAATAATGTTAATTTTATTCCACAATTACAAAGTAAATTATCATCAACCTGAAAAAATATGTGATATTGTAAGTTCTCTGAAGTCAGAATCTATTCATTGCTAGATTCTRGGTAAGATAATTTTAGACATATAAACTTGTCAAAAAAGATGATAAARATTTTAATTTTAGGTCTCCTCACACTATTATGCTTACCACTGTTTTATTTATTCAGAGACTTAAAACCAGTTTCTTCTTAATAGAAAAGAGCTGTTGAAAAAATGTGTTGTTTTTCTTTTAAGAAACCTTCTACATATACATTTTTCTGCCCACTCTTGAACAAAGGAGTAGTTTAGCAGAAACTTACACTGACTCAGAATTATTGCAGTTGGCAGTATGGATATCAAATGCCTAGAACCACAGCTGCAAAGTATAATAAACAAATGAACTACAGGAAAAACACATTCTCAAGAGAGCCAGAAATACACTCCCGTTGCCATTTTACCATTCTATATTAGCATTTTTCCCATTATAAGAACAAAAAGGCAGAAAACTGGAGCTCTCCCCATGTGCTCCTCCCCCACGTTTTCCACAGGTTTACTGCACTCCTGGAAAATCCAATTATGCATAATGAAGCAAAAGCCATAATACTGGAGCTGGGGAGCAGCACAATTCCTTCAGTCTGCTCTAAACAGGATTCCTGCTGCTTCAGTGCTTGTCCCCTGCACCAAAACCACCAGCAATCCAATAAAGAGAATAAAAACTTCAGCTTGCATTGCYCTGCAACACACTTACCTCATTTCTGCCAGGAAAAAAAGCCASTTTACACAACTGCTTGAGTTAGTGTGTCCTGTTGTGTTTGCCAACASCAGAAGCATTGCTACAATTACTGAGGCCTGTACATGTGATAAAGCTATTTACAACCAAGACCAATGAAAAAGAGCATTTTGTTCTGGGAAGAAAAAAAAAAGTTGAGATTCTGCAATGGTTTTATGCTAATGAAGAACGGAAACAAACACTTCCATATTTAAAAATGTKAAAAAGAAAATATAATGTATTTCTGGCAAATTATTCAGAGTCTAAATATCACCTTTCTGAAAAATATACATAACCAATTGACTAAGCTTTTCCTTCTTCTTCATCTAAAATTCATCTCAATCTCTTTTATTCAGAGCTGTTTCTCTGTCTCTTCATCACCAAAAATTCCTCAAATGCACCAACAACTCTAGTTTTGACACAATGGCAGTCTGGCACACATAAACAGCATTAATACAGATGAGAGAGAAATGTTAAATCAGTTTAACTACAGGAGAAGGTGGCTTACAAAGATTTTGCACATTTTGTCATTTGCTGGCTTATCTCTGATGTACATGAAAGCAAGTTACAAAACTAAGGATCTTCCAAAACTWCAGTCTGTAGCTAAGGATCATATCATATAAAAGGCATGAAAATAAATACAGGACAAAACTGAAAAAAGGGCTACTTATACAACTGGGGGAATTGTTCAATAATGGAATACCCTTATAAGCAGAAGAAAGACTAAAAATTTTTCTAAATCTATAAAAAAAAAAAAGGCAGGGAAGCTTCTTAAACTATGTGATCTTTAATCACAATATTTAGATGAGTTTAGCTACTACCCAGGCTGCCTCAAAGTTAAATGATGTAAACAATAACATGCCATGCACACTGTCACAAAACTCAGGACTATTGCTAAATTTTACCTCCAGTGAGACATCCTTAAGACAGGGAGACTCCCTGCAGAACTGTAGACTTTACAGCTGCCCAGAAATTATTCTGCAGACAAATCAGAAATGCTTCCTCTTTCTCTCACAATCAGAACAGCTTTTCCTTCACAGAGTTAGTGACACCACATTCCCAGCTGCTTTAGGAACCTGTTTCATGTCAAGATCTGTCACCCTGACCTTCCCAGCTTTTCCCCCATCCTCATTACTTTCCCTTAAAAAATTCTATCAAAAATGCTACGAATGTGCATTTTAATTACATGTTCCTTACTCCTGCTTTTACTTTCCTTCCATGTATATAAGAGGGAAGAAATCATTTGTTTATGCTTGGTGTTGTTTAGATTGGGTTTAAAATTATATTTGATCCTGAGTTGGAAACAGTCATGATCCATTCACTAAACCACCAGTACATTTACATACACTAAAACATGGTTGCAGATATCACAGAAATTAAGGTATTGATTGTAAAATATCCAACTACTCACTGCAAGAAAGGCTTGTTCTCCTGCCACCCTGCCCAAGCACATAATTAAGGAGGAAGGATACAAATCTGCCCTGAAGGTTCACTGCTCTGTGATTCTATCAAATCTCAGAACCTAATGAAATCTGGRCTAGGTCTGTGCTTGGAAATCCCCCACCCAACACAAACCCATCTGTCCCACAAAGCAGTGATGCTGACTCAGTTCCCAGTGTCTAACTTTTCAAGAAAAATCAGATCTAAATGTATGTGGTGAATGGTGATTTTAAAATTTGAAGAAGCATCCCACTTTCTTCCTGACAGAAGGCAGAAATATTAAATGATTTTCCACGCAGGAAAATAAAAATCCTAAACTGCTTTTGAAACAGAGGCACTATATCCAACTGGAAAAAAACCTACTAAAATATATATTTCTGTATTTTCATAGCAATGACCAAAGGAGAGGCTGAAAAAGGAGAGGCTAGAAAGTGTACAGAGCAAAGGTGCTTTCTGCTCTGCATTTTCTATGTACACAGTCACTGAGGAGAAACATTTCCAGACATTAATGTTGTGATTGGTATTTTTAAGACAATTCTCACAGCAATCCTTTCCATCTTATGGTCTGCAGAATGTGACAACATTTTTCTTTTCACAGTTAAGGGTTCTATTTCACAGCTGCTTGCTAACATCTTAGCTAACATATTCTAACATATTGCTGACATCTTAGCTAACATATTCATCATTTAATGCTGACTGATGGCAAAATAGAGGAAAAGCCCACACTGCCAGCATCAGAACATACATCCAAATTTACTTGTTTATCCTCATAATAATCCTGAACATCAACYACTTTTAGCAGCCTTGGAAATCTGGGTCGTTCAGACAATTGTAATTATCTTTTCAATTTTGCCTGTAACACAAGCCAGTGACCAAGCCCAGCCCAAAGAATACTTTAATCTCTCTGGAATTGTCATGTCATGAAAAGGCTAGAAAGGAGGTCAGCAGAGGTCTGAGCTGCAGATGTGTCCTGACAGGCAGGTTTATATCAATTTACTGCTGCAGCTCACACAAAGACCCCACTGCAGTCCAGGAACTGGAGAATTACTGAATTTTGCTCCCAAACTGTGTTCATTTCACATGGGGACTCAATACATGTGACAAGACCAAAGTTTTAGTGTGTTTGGTTCCTGAAACAACTCTTGGGGACTCCACAAATGCTGCTGAAATGAGCACTCATATTCACTTGTCACCCTGAATTCCTCTTCCAAAACTCTGTCTAAAATTCATTCTAACACCAACCATGAGAAATTAATTTATTCCACTTGCAGAAATCTAAAGGTAATTAAGGCTCAGGTACAACCTAAAATGATAACCAAGGCATTGGTCATGCATGACACCACTGTGTAAAGACTTTTCAGGTCCAGAGAATAGAAGACCCACAATATGCAAAAAAAAAAAAAAAAAATCCTTAAGAAAGGAAGCTCAGACTCACCAAAAAATGTAGATATGTAAAGACAGATTTAGGTATGTAACCAAAAAATTTTTTAATTAATTTAATTTAAATTAAACTGCATTTAATTTAAATGTAGTTGGTTCTAATAGTTCTCCACCCCTTCTGTGGAAGTGTTACCATTCCTCACAAAATCATCAACAACTCATTGGATGAAAGAAAAGAGAGCATGAGYAAGTGCAGCTTTTGAACTTGAAAGTCAAAGCTCAAGCTGTTGAACAATCTGGGCTCTGCATTAACCATGTTGAGATAAAAGTACACATCAAACAAAAAGTCTTTGGTGTAAGAGTTGGCACCTAGGTGTCTCTTGTGGGAGGAGTCATGAGCACACCAAAAAGACAGTGTTGGTTCTAGGATTTCTTATATTACTCACTGCTTTTTGCTTCTCAAAAAGACTATCAGCCAAGGAAATGACAAGAACAAAATTTTCAATGAAAAAGCACCCAAATAGAACTTTACCATCTTGTACCTAGTTTCCATTAAAATTATACTTTTCAGYAAGTTTTCTTATTGAAAAGAAAAGAACAACAAAACAAGTTGAACATCCAAATTCTAATCTTAATGCCAGCTACCTAGTGGGGCTGACCCACAAAAATCTATTATATAAATATTTATAACTACACACACGTATATATATATATATATATATATGAATTGAATACTCCAGATATTTCTAAGTTCATATTCTACTGGCATTGTACAAATGAAGCAGCTTTGAAGAGTCAGTTAATGTGGATTAAATATGAAGATAGCATATTAGATTGCAGAAGGTAGGCACTGAATCTGGAAAATCTGGGTACACTGAAGATCAAAATCCCAGCTATAATCAGAGAATGCTACTGCACAAGGTGTATGCCAATTATCAGTTATCTGACTACTCAGAAAACAAATTCCTTTGTATCTTACAGGAAAAAAAAAAACAGTCTTGAAAAAACATTCAACTGTTTTGGCATGTTTTCATGATTTTCAGTTAAAGCAGCTGTTCATTCAGCAAACTAAAAACATGGATGTCCAAACAGAGTAAATTTTACATTTGGCCTACTCAAGCATGGCATGTACTAGARTATTTCCAGCTGAAACAATACCTACCTCTTGTCTTTTTTTTTGGACCCATTCCTTATGTTTCTCTTCAGCTAACCTTTTTCTTCTTTCATATTCTTGATTTTGCTTCATTTTCTCAAGCTGCATATTCATTTCCTAATTAAWGAAAAAGTATACATCTCAAATCTCAAAAAATGGTAACCATTTACTGCAATACAGAAAACAGTGCTGCAGTTAAAACAGTGCAATGCAGGAAAAAATACCAAAGTCTGGTGCTTAAGATTCTGGAGAAGATGAATGACAATCAATACAGAAATTCATTGTCTTCTTACAAAGAGCATCTTACAAAAATGTTGATTGTATTTTTCCCTCAAATATAAGCTTTTCGTGCTGCCTCACTGCAGTTTAACATCTAATGTTTTCAAAATCTTACAAACTAGAAAGACTTACTTATAAGACTATTTTCTACATGGCTTTATGTAATGCTTGTCCWATGAATGTTCTTAATACTTAGCTGAGAGAAGTCTGCTAGTTAACATTCACATTACCAATCCAGAACATAAATAGGAAGTCATGAAATGTTTGGTGGCTATCAATGGATCAAAACATCTTCCTCAAAGGTAACAAACTACTTTGGAGTTCTGCTGACCTGTAAAATGCTGTTCCTGAACAGTGGTAGGTGTTTTATAAACAACATAGGTAGCCCACATAAAACAGCTGTRTGCTATATTCACTTTACAGGTAATCACAGCAAGGCTGGGAAAACACTCAAGGTCAAATAGTTAATCAGTAACTAAAGTGAGAAATTATCTAATTTTCATGTGATTGTTCTAATCACTACCCAATACTTCCCATTTSATTTTCAACAACAGTATAATTTAATCAACTGCAATTACAAAGACAGTAATCAAGAAAAGATAAGACTGCTCTCACTTAATTGTGTAGCAGCTCTGGTTCTCAAGAACTGTTAATCTGAATGGGGGCAAAAGATAGAATAAAGAAAAAAAATTGTTGTAACAGGGATCCCTATGCTGGGAAAGCACACCAAACAGTTGTAAAATCATGCACTAAGTGGATAACAACACTGTGCCCCAAATCCAACCAAGCAGCTTGGCACACTTTCAATCAGCACACACCCCATTTTCTTCTACAACCTCCATGCAGGCCTACATAACCGTGATGAAAATCAGGGTAGTGATTATATAAATCTTTAATCTTCTAAAATCAARCCATTACCTGACAGCTGGATCAACAAAATATTATTCAGCACCAGTTCAGTGAAGCATAACATTCAGCAAAAGAGAATGCATATAACATGAACCGTGCCAGCACTAACAAACAAAAACACTATGGAGTGGTTTGTTTTTGTGTTAAGACACTAAAAAAAAAGGGAAAAGCTACTTGTGTTTCTACAACCAAAGCCAATTGGATGAAATCACCTCCGCAGCTCGAGCTTGCAGGCGGGCACGCWGCTCCTTCTCTTTGCCAATGAACCACTCCTCCCATGGTGAAAGGTTATCTTTCAAAGGTGACACTTGTTGTCCCCCTGCTATTTCAGTATTTTCAGCACCCCTGAATCAAAAACAAGAAACATAAGAGAATATTATCTATAAWGTATTTGATTGAAAAGTTAAGCAGCGTTACTGTCTTGAAAAAGTAGTTTTATGGCATAATGTGACAACAATGACATAACTTTTCTACTTAGTAAACTCCCTAATTGATAAATAGCATTTATAATGCACCTCTCAGCCATCCCCCTTACATTCTACACTTTACTTACTAAATTCTAGCTTTTTAGCCATTCTAAACTGTGGAACAGATTCAATCATTACCTTTTAGGAACTAAACAAAGAGAATGCCAGTAAATCTAAGTGTCACTTTCCTCTTCACACATGGAAGCCAAGGGAAAACAGAGATTTAACATTAACAGCCTGTCCTTGGTCACAAGGGGCTCCATGTATCAAGTACTGGAACACAGCTGACAAATTAAAACATCCTCAGAAAAAGTACTAGGAGAATGGATAAATTAAGAAAAAGAATATTTACTCTGTCTTTTCTCATATCAGTACCCATGAAATTCAAGCTGACAACTTCTCAAAGAAGTTATTCATGGTAATAGATTTTAAAATTACTGTAGACAAGTAAGAAATAACAGAACATGAAACTTAAAGAGAAGAGAAACACTTCTCCAATAGTGTGTCTAAAGCTCTCTGATTGCACCAGAACTCAGTYCTTCTTGCTGTGCACACCAACCATGTATTTTGAGCCACAGGGACCTTGAATTTCACCAGACCATYTTCTGAAATGCTGCCTTGTTTGCARCKATRAACTTCATCAAAATAACTAAAACAAAAGACTTCTTACAATACGCCCTTCTCAAGCACACATTTATTTCCGAATAAATATCTTAAATCAAACTAGACACATCTGACATCAGACCTGAAGTCTGATTAATAGAAAACAGTGATTATCATTTGCCATATATTCACTGAGGTTACACCATCAAACATGGACTGATTCATAACAAAAAACCAAAAATGCCTGACACCATTTCACAGGGCCTTGTTTTTACCCTTTCTCTATTGCAAATATTGCATTTCCCACAGCTAATTTTTGTGTAATTTTGAGAGGACATAAAGAATAGATTCAGATTGCATGTGTACATGGGGGGCTATATAAGAAGTGTTTTTTATTGTATTTCTGAGATGTTGGCAGCTACACACAGAAGCTGCTATATGAACACTTGGTGGGCACTTAGTAAAACACAGCAGCAGTGTCTGCACGAGCAAAACGTGTATCTTGAACACAGTTTAATGAGACTGACAGCTCAGGCCCTAAAAGAGGTTGTCTTCAGCTGTATCTTCCTGCCAGAGAATGCTGCAGCAACAGGCCCAAGATTTGGGAGATGTTTCAAATAAGCCTCTCAGTTGCAAAGACATGCTGTAGCTTGACTAAACTACAGAACTTCAAGGTACATGAACAAAGTTGCTTGTTGGGAAGAAATATATGCAGAGGTAACAGAAATACCAAAAGAGAAAGGACCATTAACAGGCTGATCTCTTTCTCACTCTGAAGCTTGTAACTACACTTGAAAACTTTCTTCCCTGGACTTTCAGTACCTTCTCAAGAAATGCTTTTAAGTGGCAATCAGAGTGTCCACATTCCTTCACTGCTCTCCATGGAAATTTGAGAAYGATGCTGGCACCCTTCACCCCCATGAAGCTCTGCTGTCCTTCCTTTACCCCACCAACACTTTTAGCTCAGTTCAGCCTTGCTCATYACATTCACCACCAGTTTCCATCACAAAGGTTATATTCTAGAACAGGACAGGCACTTCCCACTCTTCCCTCTTGTTTTAAAGGGARTAAGAATTATTTTTTTCCAGTCAAGCTGGCGGGATCCTAAGTGAAAAGAAGGCATATTATGTTTGAATATAATTACAACAGAATAAGATTAAGCCACAAGAGCAAGAGCTGCACAACGCATACGTATAAAAGTGACTCTGGACCCAGCTATGTACCCTATGAAAAAGAGCCCTTCAGTCGGCAAACACTTTTGAATTAATGCAGGAAAGACCGCATTTTTTAGCAGCCAAAGATCTGGAGGCTCAGGCCAACTGCTTCTAGACAATCTACAAACCCACAAAAACACTGAGCTGTCCAATGAGAATACTTTCCAAGACACCAAAAAAAAAAAAAAAAAAAAAAAAAAAACCAAAATGCTTAGAGCGCTTATCTCTGTAACAAAACCGGTATTTATGTAAAATAATCTGGTGTCCCCAAGGTCTCCAGCGGAGCTCCCGAGGCGTTACCTATCGCCGGGCGGGCTCCGGGAGGCCGCCACCCGCTCCTCCTCCTTCTCCTCCTCATCCTCACAGCCCGGGGAGCTGGGGCGAGACTCGAGGGAGAGCGGGGAGCCTGCGGAGGGGCTGAGGGGCTCCTCTCCCGAGGAGGGCGGCGGGCTGAGGAGCGCGGCCCCGGCACTGCCGCAGCGCCGGGCGCCACCGCTCATGGCGGGGCCACCTCAGGGGGTGGCGGCGGCCGTTACCGACAGCTCCCGACAGCT